ATATCTCAAAATAGGTAAAATGTCCATTTCTGGTGTATTGTTAGGATGACAATCAGGGTTAAGAGAAAGGCTGGGAGTTGACCTATCTTTTGTGTTGGCCTGGCCAAAGTCACAGGATATGGTCAGTGTACATGTTGATTATGCCAAGGTGATGGCAGTGGGTTGCCGAGGTGTTGTCCCGGAGTGGTTAGCTAAGTTACCAATCTGACTATGATGATACAAATGTGTGAGCATGCGTAGTCGGGAGAAGTCACAAATCTGACTTTGGCGATGCTGGTTATGCCAACAAGATGGTGGCAGGTTGCCAAGGTGTTGTCACAGAGTGGTTCGTGAATCTGGCTATGATGATACAAGGGTGCAAGCATGAGTAATCGGGAGAAGTCGGAAATCTGATCTTGCCAATGCAAAGGGTGTGAGCATTGACAGTCAGGAGAAGTCATGAGTCTGACCTTGCCAGCAGTGGAATGTTGAGGTGTTGTCATGCTGAAGCTGGACAGCCAAGATTGCCAGTCAAGCCTGGGAGCAACAACAGTTGGTGAAAGGAGTGGTCATGTTGAGAGGCGACAGTAACATTGACAGTGGTGACGGCAGCAGCAGCACCCTGTGTGCCAACTGGTGGCCCACCAAGCCGTAACTGTCCTGGTCATTCTCAGAGATGGTCTGGTAGTCCCCAGGGGCACTTCTTTTTCTGGTGGGAACATTCATGATTGGCCAGTGTCACTCTCATTGCTGGAGGTTGCTTGGTAGAACAGATGCAATGCATAGAGCCTATGTGCAGAAAAATGGTGTTTTTATTTCATTCTCTGCCTTCATGGTGTTCATATCCGGCTAGCATGCAGAATGAATCTAATTGCAACACAGTATAACACTACTGAGGAAAAAGAGGTAACTTACACCTGGCTAAGAAAGAAGCCAAGCTATTTCAACAAGGTTGGTATGTATACCCCCATTAAAAGGTGTAACATCACAATTGAGAAAGAAACTAAGTTGAGGACTAGTTTTGAAATCCCAAGACTTTTTGCATTCAGTTTGGCATATTTTCCTGGAGTTCTTCTATTAAATCAATTGTAATTAAAACAACATACATTACTTTTTGACTGACCTTGAGTTTTTAAAAATTCATATTATGCAAATGATCTCCTTAGATTTTAATTGAAAACTCATCTCAGAATCTAACAGGCAATTTGCATGTAACAAAATAGAAGAGCAAGAAATTTCTTACATTGGATAGCTATAATAATATCATCCTTCAATTTAAAAAGAGTGTTAATTTTTATTGCTGAAAACATCAATTATATAAATACTAATTGTAGTATAGTGTTATTGACTCATGGGAACTAGCATGCACTCAACTGCCTCATGAGTAATAATTGTAACTATTTATAGTCTTTGTGGCTTGATATGTAAATGAGTCACCTCATCTCCCTGTACTGAAGAGGTTTTATCCTCTTATTTTCCCTGGTACTTCTTCTGGGAGCTTTTGTCTCCTCACTATCTTCCTCCTTCTCCCTAAGAGATTGTCTAGATATGGGAGATCTCAAACTTCTTTTTTCATTGAAGTATTCCTCTAATGAGTGTCCTTGTTCATATTCAGAGTCTAAATTACTCTCAATTTCACTGTCTAGTTTGTCTTGCCATGACACTTTTGCCTTCATTACTTTAAGTCTCAATATGCATTTATTTCTTCATCGCTATCATGTTGCAATCTAACTGGGTCTGTATGTGCTAATATTCCATTTCTTTCTTTTTTTCTATTATCATTGTGTTCTGTCAACTTTGCATTATGAATCTTGCTTCTTATAGATTAGATTGTACCATAGTTTTTTGTTGGTGGCATAGGACATGGTCAATGAGGATTCTAATTTGTCTACCCATGAGGGCGAACAGGCTTTTCGATCTTCCAGCTTGTGGTATTGATCTATAACTTAGCAACAATCTAGGAAAATGTTTCTATGTTTTCTTTCTGTGTGCCCATATTCTCAATCTGTTTTTTTATAGTTTGCACCATCCTTTCTGCTAATCCATTTGATTATGGATGGTACAGTGTGGGGGTATATGATTTGCATCCAATTTTGCTCAACCATTGGCATAATTCCTTGACACAGAACTCTGAGGCGTTGTCAGATACTAGTATTTTTGGAATCCCATTTCTTGAAAATATGATCCTTAACACTAGTTTCACATTCAAACTTCTTTTGTTGGAAACCTGTATTACTTCTGGCCAGCCTGAATACAAATCTACTGATATTAGTAATAACCCCACTATATTAGCATGGGCATGATCCATGTGTACTCTGTCCCAAGGTTGGCCAGGTATATGTTTTTGCTGTCTAATTTTTTTTCTGTCATTGCACATTTTACACCTTTTTGTATTCTTCTACATCGGTAGAATAGCCTGGCCACCATACCTCCATCCTTTAATTTCTTTAAAATGACTTTTTGCCCATGAGAAATTATTCCACTTAATTTTTCCTGAACAATATACTGTCCAATATGGGATCTCACTTTACATCCTCAGCTAATTTGTCTATTGACAAAATATCAGTTTCCACCCAGCATAAGAAAGTATCTTCGAATTTTTCCTCCTCTTTCTCACTTTCAGAAGTAATAAACTTCACTCTCAACAAAGCAGCTACATGCAGATTAGTATTGCCTTTCATGTATTCAATATCAAAGGTCCATCTTAGAATTCAAGAAGACATTACCTTAGGAAGTTCATTCCTAGGATTAAATATGAATTCTAAAGATCTATGGTCAAAGCTTAGTAAGAACTAGCAGTAGAGCCCGGCATTGCCCGGGGATGTAACAGTAAGAGATAGATCAAGTATCGACCATCATAAAGACTGAAAAATAAAATTGACAAAGATTATTGTTTAAGGTTGACAGACAGGTATGTCTTAATTAGTTATTTTTTGGTTAGTTTTTTTTTTTTTTTTTTAATTGGTCAAACCCAAACTCAAACAAAAACATTGTTTTCAATTGTTATGAGTGTTCACGTACATTAGTTGTTACTACTAATTCCTTTCTAGAGTCAATTTCAGTATTTTTACTACTGGCTTCTTTGCCAGAACAGTTTTTAAATTTTTAAATGCCACTTGTTGTTCTTTTGTCCAAATAAATTCCACATTTTTTTTTCTTAAAGCAGCAAAAGGTTCTGTCAACTCTGAGTATCACTCTACATATCGTCTGTAGAAATTTACAAGTCCTAAGAAAGATTTCAATTCTTTTTTTGTTCTTAGGTACTTCAACTTATAATATTTTGTCAATTAACAATTAGTCTGGTGATATGCTTTCATTAGATAAGGAATATTCCAAAAATTATATTTTTTTCATTGTTGTGCACACATTTTTTTCCTTAATTGTCAACCAGCATTTTTTTAACTTATTTAAAACCATACTGGTTTTCCATTTTAATTCTTCATCATTAATAACACCAACACAAACGTCATCCTGGTAGTATATTGTATTTTTTATATTGCTACCAGTAACTTATTCTATAGCCCTTTGAAAAAAATCACATTTGCAATTTTAATTCCATACAGCATTCTCTTCCATCTTAATAAGCCTATTGGCATGTTCATTGTTGTGACTTCTTTAAAGTCTTCGTCAATAGGCATTTAATGGTATGCCAATTTTAGGGAATGTTTTCATATCCACAAGAGTGATCAAAGCCCATTCTACATTGGGGATAGAAGTCTGCACATATTTTGTGGTTTACACCTATGTTGTAGTCACCACAAATGCGCATATCCCCCATCCTTCTTTCTTAAAATTACTAACGGGGAAGCACATTTGCTCCCTCCTGGCAGAATTCATTCAAGTAGATCTTGTTCCGGTAATTTCTTTATTTTTTTCCACAACTTTTGGTAGTAGATGGACTGGCACATTTTCCTTTAGTCTTAACTTTGCTTTCTTTTTCTTCTGTCTTGACTTTCTTTATGAATTTTGTCAAATTTATGTTCAATACATCATTTCCTATTAGACCGTGATACTTTTCACAGTTTGCCACAATAATCGGTAATATGACAAACTTATATTTTACTTCCATATAGGCTTCAAAATAGCCTAACATTTTTATCACAAATCCATCAAACTGATTCAATTTAACAAGGCTTTTCTTTAATCATGGTTTTCTTAATTTCTTCCAGAAATTTCTGTGTCAACGTCACATCCTGTATCTAGTTGCATATCCAATAAAACATTATCGATTTGAATTTTCAATAACCCTTTTTCATTTTTTTTAATGAAAAGATGTTCATACTTATTTCCTTTTCATTTTGTTTGACCGTCTCTACATTTTACTGTTTGGATTTACACATACGTTTAAAATGATTTATTTTGAAACACTTTTCACTTTTTTATATGCTGGACAATTTTATCTTTCTCTTTGATGTTGATATCCACAAAAAGTACACATTATTTTATCCTTTTTCTTTATCATGTATGTGTTCATTTCCTCTACCAGATCTGTAACTTTTGTTCTATTAAATTTTTGAATCAATTCTTTTTGCTGAACAAATTCAACACACTGCTCTAGTAACAACTTTCCCAGTTGTAAATGAGTCTTTGATGTCAGGTTTTTCACTATTAGTTGACTTATATTGTCAAATGTCATTTCCTCCACCTGTCTTGGGTGTACAATTGCTGAGGCTTTTATAATGGCCTTACAACCAGCAGTTGCCAAGAAATCAGTTATTTGGTTTTCTCCTCCAACTGATTTTAAATCCTTTAGCTTTTTTGATTCTAGCTTTGGCTCAGAGTATTCTAAGCCATGCTTGTGCATATTCAGAATTATCCAGCTTGTTCGGTTCTTTAGATATCGCCAACTTCATTGTAGTGTAGTGTTACTGACTCACAGGAAGTCGTATGCACTCAACTGCCTCATGGGTAATAGCTGTAGCTATTTATAGGCTTTTTGACTTCATATGTAAAGGAGTCACCTCGCTAAAAAAAATGAAAATGAAAAAAGGAAATAATCTGTAAATCAAAGACTAAATTACCTTATATTTTCTGGATATTCTTGGAGAGCTGTTTCCAGAAATGCCACTGCTTCTTCATAATGTTTTTGTGCAGACAATAACAATACAAGTAGATGCAATGAGTGAATATGATCACTGCACTGTTTCAGAGCATTGCGTACAAATTGTACTGCTTCAGGAATCTAAATTAAACAAAGAAAAGTAAAACAATTCAGTATGCAAGACATTTTATAGAAATGTTCTCTATTTACAGCAATTTTCTTTACATGATTTTAATAGATTATATTAATTATATTATTACATTATCTATATAGTTTCTTAAATAATAGAGCTAGTCAATCAGAAGTAGTTTAAAAGCTAAACCACAAACCAGTCTGTGGTAATAGTTCTAATAGGTTTGTAATAAATATATGTTTATAAAGAGTCAGGTGTTAAGATGTGTCCATTCAAATAATTATTTTTATTAATAGTTTCTAGAATTACTTTTAAAATAATTCTGTAACAACTTTTGTTTCTTTATTTTTTCTTTTGTAATTGTCATATTACTTTAAAATTTCTAAAGTCTTTATTATATATATATATATATATATATATATATATATATATATATATATAGATAGATAGATAGATAATGTGGATAGATATTTTATTACTTAAACATTATTTTTTAGTAGACATTCCATTTATTTATTAAACAGTATATTTATTTATTTTCGTTTACCAGCCTGAATATACAAATCTTATTAAATAAAATATGCACTATCTGGCAGAATAAACTGTCATTAGATCAGATGTGCTTTAGATCACATTGGTCACAGAATATGTTGATGAAGATTTCTCGGATATTCAGGCTGCCAACAAAAAACAAATAAATAAATGGAGCATCAACTCAAATATGGGTCTCCATTAACAAAATAACATTTCAGTAAAAAAAATCTGTTAAACAGAAATCCATCACTTCTTTAGAAAAAGCTTTGGTTATATTAGGATAGAAAAAAACTGAGCAGATATGAATACTTCAAGAGTCTGAGCAAGATTTGTATTTATATGGCACTATTCAACTTTCTTTGATTGTCGACACACTATGTTGGAGCTAATGAGGGTTTCTCCTACCAAGGGGAATGCATATTTGAATTCTGCCAGAGAGCACATATTTATCTTTAATGAGATTTCTTACTGTTTAATAATTAAACAGAGAATTTATTAAGATATGTGTATCCACTGAAAAATAACATTTAAGTAATAAAATCTGTCAATATATATATATATATATATATATATATATATATATATATATATAGATAGATAGATAGATAGATAGATAGATAGATAGATAGATATTTTTAAAGAATTAATAGGTTTTATTTTTAAATCCAACATTTTTATTACTTCAAATGTTATTTTTAATGGATAGAAAGACTGTCTACTCAAATATATTCAAATAATATGGAAGAGTGTACACCTTACTTCATTTTCTGATGTAGCTAAAATAAAAGTGAAACATCTTAAATTTATAAACATTTCCTATTTGGTCCTTATCCTATCATATATATATATATATATATATATATATATATATATATATATATATATATATATTTTTCTCTGAGGAAAAGTATAAATTTATCATACAATTAATATTGGTACCTCTATTAATTCACAGAAAAAAAGACCATACCATGATGAAAAAATACCTCAAACTAGATAAATACAAAGTTTTATCATCAAAATCTTTGTTATATTTAAGAGGAAAGACCAGAGGATTTTTCCATTATGTAATTATATTTTTAATCTTTTTTAGAACGTTCAAAATTTTTGGTTAAAAATCTTGTTTCTTGTATCAGTAGGCAGACTATAAATTAGCATAGCAAATTATAGCATCTCTTTGCAGAGAAAAACACACTGATTTGGAAATTCTTGCAAAAATCAAATAATTGTTTTATTTTAATTAAACTTTCAGGACTTATTTACTAATGAATGAAATTATTTTAGAAATGTTTTTTATACAGTTGTTTATACACATTATCAGAAAATAAGAGCAATAACTATAGTAAATTTAAAGCCAAAGTATATAAAACATTACATTACAGAGAATATTTTCCTAAATTTTTAAGATTACCAAGTACTTAAAAATTATATAAAAAAGGCACTCTCATTATATTCTTCAATTTTTTTTAGATATATCCACTGTAGAAAAACATTAGATAAACATCCATCTGTCATTCAACAGCTGTCAACATATTAACACCTTAAATAAACAGTTACCACTGTGTTAAAAAAAATGTATTTCTGTGATATTCTAAACTTAAAGTAAATAATAATCGTTTCAAATCAGATTAATTAAACTTTAAATCAGCTAATATTCTCAAAATTTCAGAAAAATATATTCTATTTCTGGAAGATTAAAGAGAATTAACGATGGCTAAAACTGGTTATTTTAGAAAAAAAAAAACGAAATCCTTTGAGTCAATTTAAATTAATTTTTAAATAGAGAAAAGTATTTTGTTTATTGAAATATTAAATTTAATCTATTAGCTTGAAATTAAAGCTAAAATGAAATCTTCGAGAAAGATTTTTCATTTTTAAAAATTAATTTTAATCCTTAGGTAGCACAAATCTGTGGAGGTACCTAAATTAATATAAATTTAATCTTTTAGTGCGAATTGATGACAAAAATTGTGTTCAAATTACAAGTTACCTCCCTTGTATTTCAAAATTTCTGAACAAGATGAATAATTTATAGAGCTGTTGAACTTACCTGTCTCTGGATGGCCAACTGTAGAGCAAGATGGAAATTAGCCAGGTAATCATTAGCATCTAATTGATACGCTCTGCAATCAAAAATTTTTTATAAAATTTAAGTATTAATAACAAATTCAAAATGTTTTAAAAAACTGGAAAAAAAATTCATATTTTGTTACCAAATATTAAACAATATCTGTTGGCAAATATAACTCATGGAGAAAAATAAATAAAAGAATGTCTTCATTTTAACAGAAAATATTTAGGAAATACTGGTAATCTACACTAGTGAAGGTTAAATATTAGCTGTATGAAAAGCTTCAAAATTGTAGCTAGCAAGAAAAATTATTTTAAAATTATTTTGTTAAAATGAAATGCATTTTATAGTAATTTACTATTTAAAATTTATTGAAAAAAAAACTTTAACAAAAAACGAAATCATGTACATCTTTCCACTATGCTTTAAGTGTTTTATTATTTAGCTATAATGAAAAGTATAATGGTTACCTCTGAACTTTAAGCAGGTGATCAAAAAAAGAATATTATCCTAGTGACCTGGGATCTTTATCTCAAACAGTACTTCCCAGTGAGCTGGGGAGTGCACTTAAATATTTATGACAAAGCTGGGAAGAGGATTAAGGTATTTTAGTCATTAACCACATCAAAAAACATTGTGTTATATTTTGTATTTATGGGTATACAGAAAACACTGAAAAGTATAATTATTATTGATCTGTATTGAATAAAAATAGAATATTCTTTTAATTAGTAAAGTATAATTATTATTAAGTTTTGACTTATATTTCTTTCATCTTATTTCTGTTGCATTTTATCACAACTCTCAAACTATCATTGTTAATAATCAGTGTGAATAAAAATATAAAGACTAAATCTCTGACAAGACTCAAATTTACATCATTTTTCCTAAGAAAGGTGGCTTAGATTATTCCATGAAGACAACTAGTTACAGAAATTAAAATTTAATCATAGTTTTCATTCTTTATTATGCCTGATTCAACACAAACTTTAATTTTTACATTAAAGACAGCAGTAAATCAGCAATTTCAGGGTAAAAAAATGAAGACTAAATGGTTAGAATTGAGCTTCTACAACCTATTGTCTTCGTGGTCTAATCAGTAAAGTAGCTACCTCAGTAAACAGAATGCAAGGCATATCTCATTAAAGGATTATTATTTTCAATCCCTACTGCATGCTAACAACTATAAAATTATAGTCTTAGAGGTGTAATAAAAGATAGCAGAAATGAAAATACTAATCAAAATTTAATAATAATTGACAATACTTCATCTGATAAAAAAGACAACTAAAGATAATATTGCCCTTAATATTACAAGTTTATAAAAGAACACAAATCATACAAGAATATTAACATGAAAAACCCAGTGTATAATCTCAAGAAGTAAAATAAATAATGGAAATATACTTTTTCTTACAATGGTGCTATGAAAAGTATTACAAATTTTTACATAGGACAATTCCTGCATTGTCCCTTCTGGTAAGATACAATATTGCAACAATACAGTGCTCTAAACACATTAAATTACCTATAAAGATGATAAATATATTTATATCACTTACTTATAAAAGGCATTTAATGCATTGCTGTTTTGTTTCTGCCTTTCTTCTTGCATTTTCATGTCATTTGCTTTCATGCTATATCCAACCCCCAGGACAACATACAGGCGGGACTTTAGAGGATGATCTCCACCAATGTTTATTGCCCTCTGCACAAACTGGATCCCGTCATTATACTGAAAAAGAAATTGCAACATTCAAATAAAAAATATTTTGAAAATATAGCTATAAATGTTGTACATTTTTTAATGAATTAATTTTTACCCCAAATAAAATCCTTAGCAGAAAAAAGCTTTTTTTTTAAAAACAAGATTCTCATTTAAAAAGATAACACAATATATTTTCATTCTTTATCAAATTTTTACAGCATTAATATTTTATTTATTAAATTGTTTGTAAAGAAACAACAGTATTTCATTATTTCTGATTTCCTTCAACATTTTATTGCAATCAGCAGCAATTAAAGCTATATATTAGTCTTGTCTCATTTTTTGTTGTTTGTCCAGGATTATAATTCCACCACCTTTGATAGGTGGAATTTTAATTATGAAAAAAACATTTATTTTTTCGTAAATATTATCATCATCTAAATTTCTCTGTACAATTGGTAATATATCAAAGGGAAGTAATCATGTAACCCGTGATGTTCTTCCATTTACTTTGTCTTTATACAAACACAAACACAGAACTTTAATCAACTAGCTTCCAAATTCGATTATATTAACAAGAAATTTAACAAGAGATCATTTTTGTTGGATATAATAAACTAACAAAAACAGTTTATTTTTGTTTTGTTTTTTATATTTGACCATATAAAACATTGAACTATTTTTATCAATTAAAATTGGCGATATTTTGAGCATTGCTTTATCTTATTCAAACAATCCACTTACATTGTTTGTTTTACAAAATCAGTCCACTAAAAAGAGAATTTGTAAGTATTTTTTTTTTTTTATATTAAGAGGTGAGTGTAAATGTACATTTAAGAGTAAAAGTGGGAGCAACAAATGATACACAACTCTTAACCTTGGTTGTAATAAAATTATGACACCCTCATCCCAAAATAAATTAATATAAATTTTATATATGTAAGACAGGTAAAAGAGATACAAGTAAATTCACATAATCTTAACTCTCTCTAACAATATAAACTTTCACTTTCAAGCATTTCTCAGGGGTGATACTCTGCAATATTTTATGAAAAGAAATAAGAGACTAGAGAGTGATATTTGCAGGTAAATGATCCAACAGAGACCTTGTAGGGAAAATGAAATCTGTTACTTTTTATTGCCCACAGGGACACTTAACAGAAATAAACCTGTGTCTTAAATTCCTCTGACTAGAAGTAGGCAGGGTTTGTTTTCTTTGGCTGCTCTTGTTGCTACTGATTCAGACTACCTACCCCCTAAGTTAGGTATTACTGCTGCTGCTTTACTGATTACAAATATCTGTCCTTTCCTTCTTTCAGTCTCCACTTGGCTCCTTTATATTGGAAATCAAGGTCTTGTCTCAGAGTTCCAAAAATATTTTAATAATTAGAACATCTACATGCTAATGGAAAATCCCCATTGTTAAATTTGGTATATTGTAAATAAATATTGCTTTTAGATTTTGTACATTATGAATTATGTTTTATCCACTGTGATAATGATTTTATTCTGACTGTGAAATTGTATGCCACATTTCAATTTCTATATGGATTTGTTTTAATTTTCATCAAGTGTATATATTTGAATGGGTACAAAAAGCCAAATAAAATTCTTCAATAAATGTCTCATATTTTCATAAACTTTGAAATTGTTATATTTAGTAATATTTATTGTTTTGTTGGAAATCCTGATTTCTTTGAAAAATATTAAATGTAATATCCAGGGAAATGCTCAAAGTAAGGAATTAGTGAAAATGTTATTGTCTTATTTTTTGCTTTTTTCATTCCATGATGGTCAGCTGCCTCCACAGACAAAGAATTAATAAAAGTATCAATCTCAATTAAAATAAAATCTATAGTTTGCAAAAAATAATTTAAATATGCATAAATTATGTAAAACAAATATTAAAAAAAATTAAACACAAAAAAAAAACTCTACATAATTTTAATTAAGTTTGTTTATGCCATTGAAGATTAATTTGGACAGTTGAAGTCTTTATGTTGCTAAAACATAGTTACCACAGTGTTTCAGATTACACAATTTACAGCCTTCTTCAAGTATATAATCTATAAGGAAAAGAAAGGTGTGAAGATGCTGAACAGAAAATAAAGTTTATATATAATAAATCTTAAAACTTTAATGACTCTTCTCAAAGTTATAGACAATAATATAGTATTGATTTGGAAGGTTTTTCTGGTGAAATAACTTACCAGCATTTATCATAAACAAATAGATTTTCATGACAATGTTAGAAATGTTATTTATATAAATTTTTCTCTCCAGATACAAAATTTCATGATACTAAAAGCAATCACATAAATGAAAAGGCTCATCATAAGATTAAAAACAGTGCCAGTGAATGTTTTGTTGTTGAATAAAAAATAAACCAACAGGGTGCCTAAAACCTACTATATATGATGGTATATAAGATTGCTTTTTAAAAAATGAAGAGTACGTAAAACCTAGTATGATGGAATATAACCCCCCCCCTTTTTTAAAAAAGAACCAACAGGGTAACTCAAATCTACTATATATATCAGCATATGAGATTCCTTTTTAAAGAAATGAGCCAACAGGGTACCTATAATCTACTATGATGGAATATAAAACCCTCCTTTTAAAAAATGAACTAATTTACTATATATGACAGCATATAAGATTTTTAAAAAAAATGGACTCAACAGGATAGCTAAAACCTACTAAATACTTGAGACTCTAATCCATTTGCAATTGGTTAAGTATCTCACCTCGAACAGCCTTCTTTCAGATAAACAATACGGCTTTCGATTCTCTAGATTAACCACTAATGTGTTAAAAGTTATTACTGAATTTGTCTATCAAGCTTTAGATAAGAACACTGAGGCTCAGGCTCTATCCTTGAACCAACATTGTTTTTCATCTTCATCAACAACCATCTCATTGTCATCAGTTCTTGATGACGCATCTATTTTATTCCTCTCTTAATAGTAAGCATGACAAGTCTAATAAAGTAAAACTTACAACTGATCTCAAAAATGACCTTCAGTCTGTTATTAACTGGTGTAAGAAATGGCTTTAATGAAATTGTAATGCCTCCAAATGAAACTAATATCTTTTAGTCATCATAGAGCACTACTTTTACTTTCCATCGGCATGGCTGATGCTAACCTCCAGGAGAGCAGCACATTGCTCCTCCTTGGTCTGACATTTTCTACTGACATGAAGTGGAGCAGCTATATTGAATCAATTGCTAGGCCTGCTGCTAAGGTCAGTTCATTGTACCATGACAAACAACTTTTCTCATCAAAATTCCTCATGCACATTTATAAATCTATCATTCATCTGTGCATTGAATATTGCTGCCATATCTAGTGCTCCAGCTATATATCATGAGATTCTCAACAAAATCCAACAAAAGGTCTGTGATGTTATCAATCCTGATCTGGCATCTTGACTTCAGCTGTGACATGGCTTCCCTCTGTCTTTTCTATAAATATTTCCATGTCAGTTGTTTTAATGAGTTCTTCTTGGTACCTAGAATGCATGAATTTAAGTGCAATGCTAGATTGGCAACTAGGTCTCATCAGTTTGCTGTTGAAATAGCTAGATCCAACAGTATGTTCAATTCTAGGAGTTTCTTTTCTCACACTTCTCACCTGTAGATGTCCTGGGTATGACTACATCAGACAGCACAGGAGATTTTGAGGAATGCAGAACCACTTCTTAATTGTGGGTGTACCCTGGTCAACCCTAACCCAGGGTGGTAGCACCTGTTAGGGTCCCAGGTATGGTCAAATAGTTAACCTCCAAATTGGGTCCCAGCTATGGGCAAATAATTACCACCCCTCAAAGGGGTCAAAATGCTATTAAAGTATAAAAATAGGTTTTAAACCAGCAAAACATTTTTGGGGAAAAAAAAAAAAAAATCACTAGCAATACATTTTGAAAAAAAAAAAAAAAAATATTACCAACAATACATTTTTGGAAAAAAAAATATTACCAGCAAAACATTTTTGGAAAAAAAATATTACCAGCAATATGTTTTTGAAAAAAAAAAAAAATTACCAGCAAGAAAATCTTGTCATCATTAAATAACCCATTGAGTTTGATAACATGTAAAACAAAATAAAGCAGATCATCACTTGTACAACTCTTTTCCAGTTTCTTGCTTCCCTGTCATTTACAATCTTGAAAAATTTAAATTCAATGTCAATTGCCATCTTCTGTCTTCCTGAATCCTGTTCTTTTATTGTCCTTTCTCCTCACTAATATCTTCTCATTTTCTTTCACTCTCACTAACCCCTTGCATCTTAGTGGCATTATCACCTTACTTGAGGCAAAATGATTTTTTTTTAAATCTGATGGGATATAAGAACTCTTTTTCAAAACATGAAACAACAGAGTGCCTTGTATGATGGCATATAGCCCCCCCTTTAAAAAAAAAAAAAAAAAAAATCTCCCAAGACTTATGTGGAAAGTTGAGGTATCTGGTAGACTAATATTTGCACAAATGACAGACTACTGGTACTTGTACTTAGCCTCTTTCCATAGTAATATTAAATATAAATAGTGAGGAGTTCTTATATGCCATCAAATACAGTAACTTTCAGTTTTAAAATTGGAAAAAATATATCCATTTCCTATACATATATTACAGACTATGTATATTCTATAAACAAATGAAATATATTAACATTTTAAATTTTATATAAAATGTACAACTATTTTTAGATATATTTTACTTAAAAATTATCATTATCTTAAGGAAAAACTGACAATGGATGTAACAACATTTTATATTTATCACTGAGTGGTAGTTATGGAAGAGCTGATTTCCCAAGTGTTCACGTACCCACCCTCTTCACTTTCAGCTATCATGACATGCCAGAAACAAAAATATTTTTATCAAGAGAGCTGGTAATTGGAAAAAGATACAGAAAGAAATGGATTCATGTCTTTCCAAAGAGTAATGATAATAAGGGAACATAAGGAGACTAAGTTAAAAATTGAACTCAGTTTGCTTACAACTGCTACATGAACTGAAATATTGGATTAAATAAATTATGTTTTTATAATTCTCTATTTATAAGACATTGACAGATTTTATTTTTAATCCAACATTATTTCTTATGAATCTAAACATTATTGTTGTGGATACATGTGTTTGAGTAGAGGAGTCCTGTTTTTAATTTTAAACAGTGTGAATTAAGTTTTGGATAAGAAAATTAATAAAAGTCACCAAAAGTAGATTTTCAAGTAGATATGGGCTTTCAAGATATAAATGAGAAGAGGTGCATTTTTTAAAATGGAGAATTGGACTTTGCTTGGCTGTGAAGTTATCTGTGACTGAGCAGTCTAAAGCACACTGGGTAAAACAGTGATTTCCTCTGAAAAGGAGGATGCAGGTTCAAACCCTGCACAAGAGCACATTTTTCTTTATTAAAAACCTCTCAAATGCTCAGGCTAGTAGATGCAATTCACACTGATTGAAAAAATTAAAAAGACGAGGTATTTACTCAAACATGTATATCCACAAAAATAATGTTCAGAGTAATAAGAAATAATTGTCTATATAGTTAAAAATACCAAATATTTGTGATTTTATGTTTTTGATATCTAGACAATAATGAACATGAAAAATAATAATTATGGCATAGTAATACTTCTAAAATATTTCTCATGAACGTAATTCAAACAACAAAAAACACTATAGGCAAATTCACCTTTAAGATGTCACTTTAAATCAGCATTTTTCAAAAGGTGTGCCCCGGCACACTAATGTGCCTAAAAGGTAGTCAGGTTTGCCCCAATGTAACAGAAGAGAAATTTATGAATTATTTTTATATTTAAAAAAAATCTTTATTTTTAAAATGCAATAGAGACCAAGTAATGTAATGTCTTAAAAATAAATGCTTATTTCAGGATACTTCTTAATTATTTTCCTATTTTCAAATTTCAGGACTTATTTTTCTTTAGTAGAATTTAAAGTGTGCCCCCAGAGTTTTAGTTATTCGACAAGTGCACCCTGGAGTGAAAAAGTTTGAGAAAATGATATAAATAAATGACATTGGCTGATAATTCTAATAGTTACTCTTGCCTTTTAGGAAGTAACTTGTTTTCTATCACTTCTTAGGTTGAGTATAGTAAAATAAAATAAAAAGCCAAGAAATTTATTCAACATTCCAAATTTATATTACAATTAAGAATGACATTTGAATTAAAAATGTCTGATTAAAGCTGCAGACACTGGTAATAGTAGTGGTAATAGTGAACAATACTCTTAAGTAATGAAAAGCAAGCTTTTAGAAATTATTTCAACTCAAATGGAATGTAATGTGAAAAAAATCTGTCAAGAAGATAAAAAAATAAAAATTCTGGAAACATCTAAGTGTAAATAAAGTTACCTGATACAAGTATTCTATGCAAATACGAGCAGCCTGTAACAATAACGCTGGGTTCTTTGGTTGCTGCCTTGCACATTCATTAAGTACTAAAACTGCTCGACTATACTGAAAAATATAAAAAAAAATAAACAAAAATAGAAATCAAAGTGAATTTTTACTTGAGAAATCAGACTTACATTTGATGAATTAAAAACAAATTAATCCTAATTTATATTTTGTATGCAGGAAAAAAAATTCTCCTTCTTGGTATCTCATTAACATGAATTTAAGTGTACTACTAGATCTCATTGTTTTACAGTTGAAATAGCTAGTTGTAACTATAAGTTCTATTCTAATAATTTCTTTTCTTGCACTTCTCATTCATGGAACTCTCAATTTTTTGCTTCCTGTCACATACAATGTTTTAAAATTTAAATGCAGTATCAATCTCCATCTTTGTTTTCCTGAATCATGTTCTTTTATTGTCCTTTCTCCTCACTAAAGTGTTCTTATTCTCTTCCATAACCCAGTAAACCCTTGGCATTATCACCTTGCTTGAGTGAAAGGATTTTTAAAAAATACACAAGATTGTAGATTCTATAATATATAGAAAGACAACTTGCTTAGAATTCAAAATTTCTCTACATTTCAGGTATTTTAGACTGTTATTAAATATTTATCCTAATATGACATTTAAAGAACTAAAAATAAAGAAGTATAACGGCATGAAATAACTTTTAAAAATATAGGTTATAATTATATATAAAATTATAACTTTTTAAAAAATATTTTAATCACAGATTAAACTAAACTTTTAAATGTATTCAAGGTTTTATTTTACAGTAAATACTGAAAAAATAAAACCATTTAAATATCATGAAAGGACAATTTCCTATTCATAAGCATGTTTATCTTAAATGAAATTTGCTTTTCAAGTTAAACCATTTATATTAAAGGCAAATATGATTAAAGTATGTTGTCAACAGTTTTTCAATATTTTTTTTTTTTAAAGAATTAATGACAAATTTATAAATGTTATATTTCCTGCTATATAATTTCAGCAGAAATATTTAAGAAAAAAATGATATTTAGCTGATAATTAATCCATACTTATACATATTTTTATATTTTAACATTATTTAATAATTTATAATCATATATATTTAATTCTGCAGTTATCAGTGTATCAAATGGGAATGTTTAGATGTTAGTTTTGTACCCAAACCCAACCATCAAAGTATAAGAAACAACGTGATTTGGGGGAAACAGTGCACTTTAAATGGCAGGAAGTACAATAAGCATATTCTACACGTCCTTAGATTCTAATTAAATGAATAATTACTTAAAAAAGGTTTAATTTACAACTGCTTCAAGCAGAAGATAAACAAAATAAAAGATTTGCAATAAGTTTTTCTTTCTCATCACAATGATTTTAGAAAAAAAAATGTATTTCACAAGACATACAGCTGCAAATAAAATTCATAGGTCATTAGTTAACAATATAAAAAGAAAAGATTGTTTTTAATTCTTAATATTTTTCCTTAAAGTCAAACTTATTTTTTTATTAAAGAGGATATGTGATATAATATGACTTAGGAATAATTTTAACAATTTACAAATCTGACATGATAATTAAAAAAAAAAATAAATTCAATACATAAATTTAACAATAAAAATATATCATATTTGCAAATTGAGATGTTTCCTGGTAAACAAATTTTACCACAGCATTTTTACACTAATCTTGTAAGCGCACAAACAGTTTCTAATTCTTTACACTAAAAAAAAATGTTGTCACTCATTTTCTTGTTTGTAGTTGTAACAACAGAACTCTTAAAGAAAATGGTAATAAAAGAAACACTTATACTCAGAAACAAAAAGAGACAGCTGAAATTTATTGGAACCATAATGAGGAAAGAGGGCTTGGAAAACTTAACTCGCAAAGGGAATATCAAGGATAAGAGAGATAGGGGAATGCAGAATGCCACCTACGTGAAGAGATTGTGTGAATGGATGGCAGAACAGGTAGTGGGAAGCACAGCAATGGGAGAAATGCTGCTAAGGGTCACAAGGATAGGCAGATGTGGAGATCCACAACTGAAGGGACATGGTACATAAAAGACAAATATAAATCATCATATTATATTCTTCTTACCTGGGTATAGATACATGATATTCTAACCTAGATTTGATTTTTTTCAATATCTACAGTCAGTACTCATAACAGATCATCAATTTCCTTACAGATTCATATGGAAACAATATTTGATATTTTCTTTGCAAATATATACTCAGTATATTCTATAGAATATGAAAGTATATTTTTTTTATAAAAAAATATCTGTTAAACAAAAATAAACATTGTCATCAAATTAAGTCATATACTTACTTTTCCAGTGCATATTAGGGAATTTGCAAATTGATACCAAATATGAAATTCATCAAAAGAAAACCGCATTGCTCTCTCATAACTCTACAAAATAAGAAACAATATGAAAATAAAAGCATTATACAGAATCAAAGTAGTTTTAATAGTAAATACTTTACTATTGGTCTTGATACAGAATAACAACAATAATGAGAAGCAATTATTTCATTTTTTTTTTTTTGCTATACTTAGTGACACAAATTCAAAGAAAATAACGACCAAATTTAAAGAGAAATATTGAAAAGTTTGATGACAAAATGAATTTAAAAATCAGGTTAATTACAAATTGTAAAAAGAAAAGAGTAGAAATTCTTTATTTAATTTGAACAGGTGTAACAGATGAAAGCCATCAGATTTAACAACTTAAGTCTTTGGCAATTTCAACCCTGAAAAGATTAACAATCAAACAACATGTTAAAGTTTCAAAAGTGCAATTGGAAAAATTGTTTGTAAATTCAAATAAACTAGGTCAGTGGCAGATGTGAAAACACCATTGTGTGCTTGTTTATGCCATTCAGTTGAATACATTGCTGCAGTGCATGAGAATATGGCTGAAAATCCAGACCCCTCTATTCGTCATTGTGCACAGGAATTGAACCTCTCCACGACAATGTTACATCGTTTCTAATTGCACTCTCAGTTGGTCAATTATGTTGACCAAAAACATTGCAAAGTGTGCAAAATGCATTTCTATTTGAACATCCATTTTCATAATAGGCTTCGATAACTTTAAAACATTGACTGTTAATATTTCCATGGTTGAAATTGCCAAAGACTTATGTTGTTAAATCTGAAAGGAAAGGAAAAAAATCATTAGATGTTTAAATTTAATTCATATTTAAAATTGGTTCAAGTTATTGGAACACCCTTTATTTCATAAGAACTTATAATATTTGTTAGATTTTCAAAATATGCTATTAAAATATCAACATACTTCCTTTTACTCACAAGCTATAATCTAAATGTTAAAATTGTTACTACTTTCCAAGCAGAGAAATAGCTTTATTTGAATAATTATATTATTTAACTATAAAACCCATCAACAAAACAATCATTTATTTATAAAGATCACAAAAGACTATATTGAAAATGAAATAACAAAGCACATTTGTTTTTTTTTTCAATTTCATTGTTAAAGCTGAATAAGTAAATTAGTTATCTCTATTAAGCAACAGCCATTAAGTTGATTGAGATATGAGATATATATTGATAGGCATAAATAAAAAAAAAAACAAATTTGTTTGACATCGCAGTTTTACATAAGATTGACACACACTCACAAGGACAAATAAACAACATTGATTAATTTGCAGAGTTTCAAGTGGACACAAAGACACTAACTTTGCACTTCATATAATAAATTATCAGTCAATTAAAGCAATGTTTATATCACATAGTTACCTCCCTTTATTCAAAGAAACCGTAAAGTATCTTGAATTAAATACTTAATTCAAAGAGATTTATTTTAATAAAAAAGAAAAATAGATATTTTAGGATAAACCTTATTGATCATAATCAAGTGTTCAAAAATATTTATATACCTCAAAAATACTTATAACTTTTTCTTATTAGCATCATTACTTTGTATTTGTTCAAATTTAAGAGACAACAATTAGTTTTATGACAAGTAGGAAAGGAAATAACATCTAAAAGAGTAAATTGTTCTTAGGAAGGAAACTGATCCTTGAATAATTTTTAAAGAGTTTGTTCTTAAATTTCTTACTTAAAATGTTACACATTATTATAGAGTAGAAGACACACTTACCATATATGATGGCATATAAAATCTCCACCCCCTATTTACATTTAATGTTACAATATTATGAAATGAGGTTAGGTATAATTAAAGGGAGTTTATGCTCTCAGAGTAAACATTAGACTACCAGATAACTCAACTTCTCATAACGCTCAGGGGAAAAAGGAGAAGTTTTTATAGGCCATTAATTACAGACTAATTTTTCGCCATCATCCTAAAACCATTAAAAAAAAAAAACAAACTTTAAAACATCCTAAAATCAAAATGTTGTTTATAACTTTGATTTATTTGAGTTGTTAGTTCATAATAAAAACATTAAAATGTTAAAGAAATAAATATTTATTTTGATCCAGTCAACCTTTAAGCTGTGGTCTCTGCAGCCACTACTCCCCCACTTGGTTACCGAACAGAGATTTGTAGGAGGCAGTTGAGTATTGCAATTTAGTTTATAACAAGCAGAAAGCCTAACACACAAAAGTTGTCTGTCAATGGTTCATTCAAGTTTTTAACCAAAGATTGGCAGAAAAAATATTATTTTCTTGCTTTGTTTATTAATCCTTTAAGGCCAGAAGCACCCAAATGTGCTCACAATTGAGTAGCATTGTACAGGGTGTCCCTAAAGTCTAGACACATATGAAATCTCATTAACTATATATTATTTTTTTACCTTTACAGATTAAACATGGTTTTGTTAAAAGAAGAAAGAACTGACTTCTTTTTCTGGGGTATACTAAAGTAGAAGGTATATACTCAATAAAAATCACAGATGCAACACACTTGATTGAACACGTAAAGAGTGGATGTGCTAAAATTGACAGCAATGTGGAGTTATTGCATCAAGTTCATGTGAATCTTACAAAGTGCATCAACCTTTGCATCACAAATGATGGAAATCATATTGAAGATGTTATTTGTTAAGATTTCAATGATGTTGAAAATTTAATTTATTGAAAATAAGCATTTTTGCCTATGTGTTCCAGACTTTAGAGACACCCTGTATTTCAATAAACAGCATTAATATCTGCTACATGATACAACTAGAAACACCAGAAATGTACAACTTTGTAAAAAGGTGTAGATTTCCAAAACCCTATCTCATAACCAGTTGTACCAGGAAAGTTAAAGCAAAATTCATTTTTAAAATTATATATTGTTTTCCACATTTAGAGATAAATAATACAAATATATAAATTTAATCACTTAAATTATTTATTCAGGCAAAAATTATTTAAATTTAAGCCCTTCAACCATTATTTTTTTTTGCAGGGCAGGGAAGATTTATTCGCCAGTTTAAAAGGTGCTAAATGTTTTGTGTTTCCGTTCGATTTATCAACCCAAAACTATTAAGATTTTTTCTAAAGAAATTAGTTGCTTTTAGAATAAAAATAATGAAATTTTAATTAAAAGACATTGCTTATGAATCTGATTCTCACAGAAAATTTTGCACAAAACTATTTTAACAGATCAATGGGAATACACTGTATCTCATGTTATTAGTCACTTCATATTGTATTGATATATAAAATAAATACTTATTGGAATCTAAAGGTTTATTTGTTGAACAATGGCAACATCATGTGAACAGTGCAGATGAAAGCTGATTCATTCTATGCAGATGTAAAATAACAGCAATCATTTGTATGAAATGTCCTGAATTTCAAAGTCTCAAATCAATAGTGTTTAAACTGTTAATAGCATTAAAACATGAGTTTGAACCTTTAAAATGAGTTCTAAGGCTGAATAAAGGAAAAGGTTTAATACCTTCAGAGTTTGCAAAAGTTAAAACAATGCTGGAAATTGCAAAAATGATTAGAAGTACCACAAAAGTTAAGAATTTTATGAAAGATATTTGACATCTTCAATGTCTGACTGATAAGGACAAGTGGAAGAATTTATCTTGCTGATATCTGTCCTATCTCAAGAGAGAAGTAATAAAATGTATCTCTTTGACAAATCATGAATGAAATTTTTAAGCTTTGTGATAATTAGGAAATGTTGAAAAGTACAAGATGTTGGATCCCAAATCAAGTAGCAAAGACCAATCGTTAAGACTCTTTTAAAAGACATCCATAAAGATAATCAAATAAAATGGACAACAAAATACATGAAGACTGATTTTGCAACCATTCTTTTGTGCAGTGTGCCATGTTACCCTCAATGGATAGACAAATGGAGTAAAAGCTAGTGGCAGAAACTTCTCACAGAAGTTGAGACATCAAGGTAATGTTTTGGAGTGGTTTTATAAGTGATAAAGTCCTAGGCCCATGACAAATTCCTGATGTTGTTAAGATAACAGTTCAGATATACACTGATCATTTGAAGGCACATATGGAACCACAGTTCAAGATGATGATTTTTATACAAAACAATGCTTCATCACATTTAGCAAAAAAAAAAAAAAAAAAAAAAACTAATAAATATCTGAATAAAATGGGTTTCAAAGACAATTATGGTGAAGTAACCAGTATCCTTGATTAACCTCAACCCAATTGCAAACATGTAGAGCATTCTGAAAAGAAAGGTTTACATTGATGGACAGCAAAAATAAACTTTGGAATGATTTTCTGATTTATATGAATAAATACAGCAGCTCAGAAAATCAATGGCTTCTAAAACTAAGTTTCAAAATATGAAGCATATATATCACATTAATGTTGCTTTTAATACTTTGTCATCATTACAATAACATAGTTTTCATTTTATTGTTTAAAAACATTTGTCTTTGTAAACTTTGCTCATGCAATTATAATTTTTAATTACAATGTTTCATTGCCAGAATGACATGCAATCTAATATAGTCTATACATATTATGCAAAATATCTTTCATAGTAATAGTTCATTTCCACAAATCCCTTTATTAACTTTCAAAAAAAAATTAAGAAAAAAATAAAGGTTTGCCAATTATGTGAAACTTAGTATCACTTACAACAAATTTTGTTTGAGTTGTGACCTGAACTTGAACTTAATGTTGTCTTAAACAAAAGAATAAGCTCATGACACTTTTTCTGAAAGTCTTGTGGCATTAAATGTCACAATTTTTTGCTTTAGTTGTTTTTATGTGAAATTGATAAGAAATAATCAAACAACTCTCTCTCTCTCTCTGCTCTCTCTAATTATATTCTCATGAAAGGGATCTAGTTTCAGCATGTCCAGATAATTGGCATATGAGATGTACAATTTAGTTTCTAGTTCAAACTATCAAGGTATACAAGGATTAACTTGTGGATGAAATTAAACTCCAGTATTATATATATATATATTCACGCCAGTAAATGTTGTTTAATACTGTTTATTATAAACAGAGCATTTACTTAAATATTTGTATCTATAAAAAGAATGTATAAACATAAAAATGTCTTAAAATAATTGTCAGACTTTGTCCATTTCATAATATATATATATATATATATATATATATATATGTTGTGTCGGAAACCTACCACCCCTCTTGAAGATGAACTTGTCTGCGTCTGTGAACAAAGACTTTAAATAGTGGCATGTCAGTTGACATGGAAGAAGACAGATAGACCGAGAAGTTCTTAGCTGAGCTAGTTATTGACTACTCAGGCGATTTCTGTACTTTTTTACCAACCTATTAAAACCCTTTTTATTGTTACGTGTTATTTGGCGTTTGTCTCTACTAACCCCAAATCAACATCATAACAATATATATATTTAAGGGATGGAAACAACTTATTTTGCATATACTGTCTTAAAATGAATAATTGTTCTAAACCACAAACATTGTGATGTAAAAATATTTCTTAGAAAGAGAGAACAACAGGCGTTCTTTTCAGGATGCTTTTTTTAATTTGAGATTCAAGTACATTTCAAGTAATTGTAGATTCAAGTACATTCCATTTGTTTGAATTTAGCTATATTTGTTATCAAACTCCTCCTAACAATATCAGTTATGACCTAGCAAAAACAACCATTTTTATTTTAGTAGACACATAATGTGTAAGACATTTAACAGACATTTACATATTTTAAGAAACAAATAAAATACTAACCTCTGCTAACAATGGGAAGTGAGCTCTCTTAACCAGAGCAATTGCTAATAAATCATAAACTGTACTAACATTTTTAAATGTTAGTTGACGGAATTCAGAATGTTCAGCAGATCGATTAAGAACAACATTACTGGTTGCCTGCAAATAGAAAAAAAGAGACAAATTCTGATCAACTAATTACTTTGACATTGTACAACTTAATCTGACATGGAAATTTATTCTCCCCAAGTAAATTCCACATATACTGATCCTGTTATACAAAACATTTTTCTTTTTCCCTTAAATGATTCCATTATAAACTGAATAAAATTAGCAAAAGAAAAAATTCCAATAAATCTTCATTTAGTACATTCAAATTTTTTTATTTCTAAAGCAATTCAATTTTTACAGAGGTTGTATAATTTTATTTTTGTTACACTTTAAGATGGATCCTCAGCTTCAAAAACTTAAATTCTTAATATTTTTCTGTAAGTTATAAGTCATTTTAAAATGGGCTAAAAGATCTTTTAACATAATTAACATGTCAAAGAAGGTAATTGACTATTAAAATTCCTCTATCATTTTAACTGTCTTTAGAAAATTGTCTGAAAATATGAGAAGAAGCATCACATAATCCTAGTTAATCACATTTAATAAAATATGTGTATATAATATTTCAATAGATTTTATACAATAGAAAAATGCATAACAATTATAAAATTATCAGGAACAATTATATATAAATTTAAAATTAATTTCTTGGTAATTAAAATTGACACATTATGAATGTATCTTTATAGATGTGTCACTAGAAATTAATGTGTTAGATGTTAATGAACTTGTATGTGATAGTCAACCAATTGAATAATACAATATAAATCAAATTTTATTTGTACACATATTTTTAGAACATTAAATAAGATCCCTTCTACATAAGACATTAAACTAAAATGGGATCTCTTCTTACTTCTATTGACAGACATAATACTTATTTTCAGTGCAAAAATAACATCAGAGTGAATAATATTATGCAATCAATTTTTCATCCTTCTTTACTTTCTCTTTTATTACTCATTATTGTTGTTGTTAGTGCAAACACACAAATACAATCTCTTTTATATATTAACTAAGATGATTTTCAAATTCCAATTGAGACATTTTGTGATCACTTTGTACTAATGATCTTGCAAAAGGCATGAATCCATATATATTGTCTCCAGCTATGGTTAAAATAACTGGGGAGACTGGGGTGTCTAGCCTTGTTGGGAATTTGTCTTGGAGAAGAATATGCCTAAATTTTAAAAAAACAGGAGTGGAATCCACTCCTCTCTCTCCAGTTAAGGGTTAAAATAGCAAAAAGTTTGCAATTCTACCCAGTAAACACACACACACACACTACTACTACTACTACTTCCTAAACCATAATTGCCATGCAAGCTGAAAGATCAGTGGAAACCAGGATCCAGCTAAAATTATACTAAATTATAAGAATATCATTAGCAATCATTTTAAAAATGTTTAATGCAAATAGTAATGTATTTTATGTAACACATTGTTATCTCATCTATTAATAAAATAGAATTCTAAAGACTTCTATTTTATTAATAGCAAAAAACAAGTGTTTCTTAAAAATATGAAACTCTAGTCTATATCAAAGAAAGAGTTAATTGTAAATATTTAAATTTGGTGGAGAAGAGAAAAGCATACTTACAATGGCTTCAGCTATTAAAAGCAATAACAGAGCTTCTTCATGTTCATTAACTGGCATGAATAACCTGTAATCAACATTTTATATTTATTAAATAAATCAAATATGATTAATTATTTTATTAGGAAGTATTTTTTTTTTTTTTTACAGGCCTTTACTTCAAAACTTATTTTATTTATACATTTAAAGAATATCAATGTCTCTACTACTATTATTATTAATAATACTATTTAGTTGTACTTTTTGTTTGAAATGTTATAATGACAGATACAAAGACTGAAAAAGCTGTTCACAAATTTGAGAAATGAAACAATATCTGATTTTACAGTCCTAAACTGCTTTAAGCAGTTTCCAAATAGTCAATTGTCTTTGAAATGAATAACTATCAACTGATGATTATAATGCTTTATAACACAAAATAGAGGAGAGGTAACCTGACCACCACTACCCTACACACAAGCTGTTAGTGGCCCACTGGTGGGCCGCTGATAGCAACACCAATGGTCCTCTGGTGGCAGCCACTGGTGGGCCCCTAGCAGTCCACCAGTGACAACATTGCCAAGATGAACATGCCAGCAGTCAGACAGCAGGCCACCAGTGGTAAACACTAGTGACATGCCACCCAGTGGCAGATGGGTGGCTTGCATGTAGAGTAGCACTCAAAAACCTTTAGAAGAGCTAGGATCATTCAATGATATCATGTAGAGAGCATTATAAAAGCTGGTATGTTTTTTAAAGCAAGCTAATGTAATGTTCTCTATATGGGATCTTTCAATGCTGTCAGCTCTTCTGAAAGATTTTTTTTTAATGAAAAAAAAAAAAAAAAGAAAGGAAAATAATTTTGATAGATCCAAATAACAGGACAATTTTCCTTTTGGAATAATAAACATAAGCTAATCTAGAGAGTAATAAATATAGAAAATGATATTATCTACTAAAAATAAATGAAATGCAACTTAATTTTTGCATTAAGCAAGGTCAAAGTGTTAACAGAGTTCAGATATAACCACTTTAAAAACCAAGTTTTTATATGAGGATAAAAAAAAATCTTGTTCAGTCAAATTTTATAAAATGAACACTATTTACATTATTCGGACTATTGTCCTTATGTTTGTTGCTATATTTATCACGTTTCGACTGTTGTATGCTCTGGCCTTCTTCAAGTGGATGGATTGTCGAAATGAACCCTTTATTTTGCTCAATGGAGTAGACTGTTCTAGTTCCATGTGTCATGTATAATGGATGTCAGTTATCAGTTACTTCCTGTTAATTCCCCTCTCCAAGTTTTCCGCTGCCTTAACCAGGTATTGAACTCACACTCTTTGGGCCCTGTCACTGGATCTAACTAACGCTGGGAGTGTGAATCTAATTCTTCTATATTCCAATATGGTAAATGATAACCATTTAATTAGGTACCTCCAAGAATTCACTAAAAAGGATACATGATGAAAAAATGCCCAAAGCAGTAAAAATTATTTATTTTCATCAAAATCTTTGTCCTTATTAAGAGGAAACATCAAGAGATTTTTTTTATGTAAAATTATGTTTTCATTCTTTGTACAACCATGAAAATTTTGGTAAAAAAAATCTAGTTTTTTAGCATCAAAGCAGGACATAAAATTTTTACAAAAAATTTGAGTATTTTTTATTTCTTTGTAGGGAAAACACACTGATTCAAAATTCTTTTGAAAGATTTTTTAATAAAGTGAATTATGTTGTGTTCGCAAATCTATCAAGATGGACAAATTTATAGATTTTACTGATAAGGAAAGAAATAAAAAGATTCCAATCAATTTAAATTTTATTTGAAACAGAAAATTATTTTACTTAATAGGAATATTAAATTTAATCTATCAACTTGGAATTAAAATTAAAGCTTCAGTAAAGATTTTACATTTTTTGAAATGCATTATAAACTTAGGTATAGCTGTTTTTGGAGGCACCTACATTTAATTCATGCTAAGATACCTAAATATTTTTCATTTACTCAATAGTAAGTAAATATCTCTGTCCAAAGTAAGCATTTGTGTCCACTACCATTGCATTTTTAAACATTCCAGAATACTACAATTTTAACACTGTACACAGACTGCAACCTGACCCCACATAACTTAAGATCATATTTCCTCACAGTTATTTCCTACTACAAACCTATACTTCTCTCAAGTTCCATTCTTACTTTAGCCTTTTAGCCTAGAAATGAATTTCTTATATTTTATGTTTTTAATTTTCTCTCTCTCTCTCTCTCTCTCACACACACACACAGGGAACCATGTAATATTTTCAACAAACACAAAACCTAAGAATAAAGCAAGTCTTTTAACTGAATCTTAAATAATCAACAAGTGAATTAAACCTTTCACTTGATTGCACTTAAGGCCACATTTTCACCTTTTTCTCTCTTTAACACTATCAACTTTTATCCCTTATTAGTTTCATCTGTTCAAATTTCTTAGGGACCTGTCCAATTCATGTTGCTCCATTTTTTAAATTTAAGTAAACACTCATAAAAAGACTTTCAGTAGAACAGTTGAAATTAGAATATGTCCAAATCAAGATTTCAACAAGCAATAATTTAAATATTCCAAACATATGTTTAAGCACATATTGTCTAATGTAAACCATATCACTCCAAAACTTAAAAAAATAAGCTTTCTAAATGAAAAATACTCTTTGATAGAGACAAGTTATTTTTTCAGAAATTCCATTAAAATGTAATTTAAAAAGATATTTTTTTAATCATTTCACTCCAAGCAAGGTGATAAAGCCGCTAAGATACAAGGAGCTACTGAGAGTGACAGAAGTTGAGAAAATATTACTGAGGAGAGAGAACAGGATTCGAAGGAACAAAAAATGATGATGTTGCATTTAAATTTTTGAAGATCATACTTGACAAGAAAACAAGAAGCCAGTTCCACTAGCAAAAAGTGTGAGAAAAGAAACCATTAGCATAGAACTTAGCACTTACACTTAACAATTTCAACAGTAAATTCAGGAAGTTGAAATACCAAAGAGGAAAGCTCATCATAACAATTACCATGAAAGTATTTATACAAAAGGCACAGGGAAGCTACATTATAGTGATCGGGACCAACGACAAATGCAGATTCTTCTTTGGATTCTGTCAAGGATCTCTAGATACATATCAGAAGCACCAGACCAATATTCAATGCATAAACAAATAGTAAACTTATAAAGGTGCAAGATAAATCTGTTGAGAAAAATTACCTAGCACAACACAGTGAACCAACTTTCCTAGCAGCAGACGTAGCAACTGATTCAATATAATCATTCCATTTGATGTCAATGGAAAATGTTTGACTGACGAGGTGCATTAAGTTACTATCCTAGCAGAGATAAGGGTCTATGTATACAATGGATGCACTGCATACCTTACTTTTTTTCAAGGATAAATAATTTTTTGACTAATATAAAATTAGTGATATTATTTAAGAATTGTAAGTAATTAAAATAAGCGATATTATTTAAGAAGTGTAAGTAGAGAAAACTCCTGTTTGCTTAGCAAGAAAAGAGAAAATGAATTAATTGCTTTCCTGTTCTATTCCCTTCAAGCAAGGAGCATCAAATATAAAACAAGAGGGAGGGAGTAAAAAAAAGATAGGCAGAAAAAAAGCAGAATTTTTGTTGCTTGCCTTCCAGTTGTATTAAGCCATGGCTCACATGAAGTGCTAATGTTTTTATTGCCCCAGTGGCTAAGATCAAAGACTTGCCTATTAAAAGGACTTAAGGCTTTCAGAAAGCTTCAGAGGAGAAATGGGTATTTAGTCAATTTGCAAGTTTTTTTATTGCTGATTCTGGGTTATTTTGTGCAATTATTTGGTACTCAAGAGTATAGATGGAATGTCTGGGGACCCTCACATCAAAAATCACTTTTTTATTGCTTTTCGAAAATATTTAACTAGGTACCTTCAAAGATAAAAAAAGAGAATGTATGATAAAAAAATGCCCAAAACTTTATAAAAACAAAATCTTTGTTATTATTAAGAGGAAAGACCAAAGGATTTTGTGATTATGAAATTATATTTTTTAATCCTTTTTAGAACCTTCAAAATTTTCAATAAAAACCTTATTTCTCTGGCATCAACTGGGCACCATGTATAGTATAGGAAATTTGAGTGTCTTTTTGCAGTGAAAAACATATTGATTGGAAATTCTTGCAAAAAGTAGATAATTGTTAAATTTTAATGAAACTTTAACAAATGAATTAAATTATTTTTTGAATGTTTTTAAAAATCTTGATAAAGTTGTTTTGTTTGTTTTTTTTTTTTTTTTTACATTTGTTACCCAACACATTTAATTTTATGAAATATCAAGAAATTCTTTTTTCTGGCTTCAAGTTTATATTCGTTATAAGAACAGGTCCTAGAAGAATTTTGTAAAACAGTACTCCCAATTACAAAAACATCTGCTCTGAATTGTAAAATAAAAAATGCAATAAAACCAAGACATTATTTAATTAGGAATGCTTTTATGAATAAAATATGATTATGGACACTATTGTCTTAAAAAATTTTTTTTTACAAGAATTGGTTTCATTTTTTTTTATAAATTTTAATTAGAATAATTTACAAACTTTAAATCTTATAAAATTCTGTATTAATTTGTAGTGGTCAAGTGATATTGTTATTAGATAAAAAGTGTATTTACTAATCATAAATGGAAAAGCTTACTACAGTTCTCTGAACCTCAGTATTTTAAAAAGAATTTTGAATTTTTGTGCATGTATAACTATGCCAAATTTTAATAATTCATACACATTATCAGAAACTATATAGTAGTAACTATAGTAAATTTAATTTTTATTGATAATTTTCTAACATTTTCTCAACAAGCATCTTCACAAGTAAGACTATAAAACCAAAATACCTAAAATTCAATAACATACGAATGCTTAAAATATTTAAAATTTTTAAGATTACTTGTTAGTTAAAAAAATTTATATAAAAAAAGCATGTATATTGTATTCATCATGTAAATTTATTACAATTATCTGCTCTTTACTTAAATTTTCCAAATATGAAACTATTGATATATGTGTCAACACCT